TTAGTGTATGCGCTATGTAGTGTGTCCCAACTGTAACTGTTTCTTGCCGTAACGGTTCCGTACGATGATCGCTTTAGAATTGTAGTAAAATTTATGCCACCAGTGGACACATTAATACAACGGCTACAGTAATGGTAATGGCTGGCCGCAGTACTATTTTGACAATTGCTAATATCTCGTTCGGCAATGTGTCTTCCTTCTGTCATTCTAGAATTGTTATAGAATTGGAATCACCAGAGACCCGTTAAATCATACGGTTGCAGTATAACGTTTAATAAAACGGTTGCAGTGACCTGATGACTGCTATACGCAGTAAATTATTGATATATGACAATGTCCCCAACTGCAATACTTCCATCCATTGAGCACTCCACAACTGTTGAAGAAATTAGTTTATCAGTGCACAGATAAATTCAATGCCTATGGTACTGCTTTGATGCCTAACCTCAATAATGATTTGTTAAATGCCAATATCACTATCGATATTTGATCTATACATTGATCTTTCTAGAATTGCTGCATGGTTTAAATCATCAGCAAACAGAATAATCCAACTTCGACAGTGATCTATTGGTGGTTGCACTAGGTACCGTCCGGCTAGTTGTAACCACCTCTAGACATAGCACTTCTGCACATTGATTAACCTGGAGTTGCTGTAGTACTTAAACCATCAAATGTCAAGTTAATCCAACTGCTATTGTACCCTAATATTGATTGTACTCAGTACTGTGTTGTCAACTGCTAGTATCCCGAGGGATAATGTGTCTGCTCTTCGTCATTCCTAAATTGATTTATGATTTCCGTCACTGAATATATTAGTCCAATGGCTACAGCGCGCCGTTGGTGGACGTACCAAGCACATTACAGTTAATTCTAAACATCTCTAGGAGCAACTAATGCGTACGTCGGTCATACTAGATTTGAGGTTCAATATAAATGATCAGCAATCATAGTTTTCCAGCGGCTACTGTGCAGTTATGACGGTAGTACTCATAACTTCTTTGACATATGTCACTGCCTCCTGTCAATTGCCCTATTCATTGGACATTCTACAATTGCTAGGAAACTAGGACGATGATTGGACAGAAAAACTCAATCACTTTAGTAGTCTGTAGATGGCTGCACTTAGTAATGTATTGTCATTCGTCAAAGTCATGAATATGTGTTATCTATCGGTTGATAACCCTACAATCGCTATAGAGTATAGATCATCAATGAGCAGATTAATCCTACGGACACTGTGCTCTGTTGGTGAATGGACAAAGCAGCGTACTGTCGATTGTATATACCTCCAGACAAAATGATCCCTACCCTGTTTATTCTATAGTCGCTGTGGAGTTCACTTCATAAGTGAACAAATAATTAAATCGGCTACCATACTATGATGGAAGTAGTGCTCTGTACTGTGTCGTCAATTGCTAACGTCGAGAGAGATAGCCGATCAATGCATTGCTTATCCTACAGCCGTTGCGGAAGTTAAATGACCTGTGAACTAGTTAGCACAACGGCTGCAGTACTGTTATGATTGTTGTACTCAGTGCTGTTTCGTCAGTTTCTAAGTTCTTGACTCACAATGAGCCTACCTTTGTCATTCCAGAGTTGCTATAGGATTTACATGACTGAACAGATTAAACCAATGGCTGCAGTGCCCTCTTCGTGGATATACCAAGTACCGTACTGAAGACTGCAAGTCTCTCTCTACATAACTGGTCCATTCATTGACATTTCTAGAACTGCTCTGAAAGTTAAATCGTCAGAGACTAAATTAATCAATTGGCTGCAGTTGCGTAATGTTAGCTACACTCGGTAATGCTTTGACATATTCCAATGTCGACAGCAGCAGCTGCTGTATCTACTGATCTGTCTACAATTGCGGAAGAACTTAGATGGTCAGCGAAACGACGAACTAATTGGCTACAGTACTGCGAAGGTGGCTACAATCAGTACTGAATAGTCGTTTGTCAATATCACTAAATATATGTGATGTATCCATTAATACATCTGGAAATACTGTATAGTTTAAACTATCATTGGGCATATTAATATATCTGCTACAGTGCTCTGTAGGTGGAGGCAGCGAATGCCGTTTTCTTAATTACAAGTATCCCAAGCCAATACCGTACTGCGCGTTTATTATTCTATATTTGCTGTGGAATTAAGATCAACAGCGTACAGGTTAATCCAACCTATACAGTGCTCCGTTGGTGGACTTACTGTGCACCGAACTGACGATTACAAGTGTCATTGGCGATAACAAGTCTATACAGAGATTATGCTCGAAATCCTGTGAAATATAACCCGCCAGTACACAAATTAAGACAACGGCAACGCAACTGTAGTGATGACTGTACACAGTACAGTCTACTACATACGTCATTATCACCAGGGCCGACTGCTGTATCCAATGATAATTCTACAACTGCTGACGTACTTGGATGATCGGCGAACAGATTAATTCAATTGCCGTTGCATTGCGTAGATGGCTACACCCATTATTTATTTGCCGTTTGTCAATATCAATGATCATATATGATCTATCGGACAATGGTTCCAGAATTGCTACGTGGCTATGTCATCATTGAACAGAAAAATTCGACGGCTACAGCGCTCTGTTCGTGGATGCTCTATGTACCGCACTCTCTATTGTAAATACCTCTAGACATGGCACACCTATACATTCCAGAGTTGCGGCCGATTTTTAATCACCAATGAAGAAAGTAGTGCAACATCCACGTCACCCTTACGGAGTCTATACTCAGTACCGTGTTGTCAATTGCTGATATCGCTGGAGGTAATGGATTTGTTTCTTGTCATTCTAGAATTAGTCCAACGGTTGTGCCACTGAGTTGAAGTCTGTTCTCGTGACCGATATGCCAGTTGTTAACTTCTCATGCGATAATGGAAGTGCCCCTTGCCATTCTACAGTAGCTACAGAATTTGCATCAAAGGTGTGATTAATCCAACCAGAACAGTACTGTGTTGATGGTCGTACTATGTGCCGAACTCCTATTTGTAATTGTATCTAACAATAAGAAATTTATACATTGTCATTCTACACTTGCTGACTAACGCAGTGAGTCAGCGAAAAGGTTGATGGAGCGCATGTAATATTGTGTAGATGGCTACACTCAGTTGTGTATTGTTATTCGTCAATATAACTACAGATAATTGATCTCTCAATTGACCGTTCAAAGATTGCTATTGGGCTTAAGACATCGTTGAACAAGTTTACCCAACGCCTAGAGAGCCCTATTGGTGGATGTTCCACGTACCGTACTGTCAATTTTAAAGGTCAGTGGTCATAGCCGTACTATTCATTGATTATTCTGGAATTGCACTGGTATATAAATCACCACTGCGCAAATTAATCCAACGGCTACAGTACTGTGATGGTGTCTGTTCTTAGTACTTTGTTGTCAATTGTGTGCGACTCGAGCTATAATGGACATGCCTTTTGTCGTTCCAAAATTGTTATAGAATTTAGATCATCAGTAACCTGAATAGTCAAGGCGCTACAGAGCTCTGTTGATGGTTTTACTCAGGAATCTATTGACATGTGTCAATTCCTCCTGCGACAACTTCTCTGTCCATTGATTACCCGACAACTGCAGAAGAACTGATACTATCAGAGAATAGGCAAATTCAGACGCTATAGTACTGCGCATGTGAATACACTCCGTACTGTCTTTTCAATTGTCAAAACCTGGAACGATATATGGTCTATCCATTGGTCATTCTAAAATTGCTAATGCGATTAGGACATCAACGAGCAGAATTATTCAACGGCTCGAGCCCTCCACTGGTAGATGTGATAAGTACCTTACTGTCAATTGTAAATGTCCGTGGCCATAACCGTGCTATGCATAGTTAATTCTAGAACAGCTCTGGCACTTAAACCATGAGTGTACGAATGAATCCAACGGCTACAGTACTGTGATGGTAGCTGTACTTTGCACTGCGTTATTTGTTGTTAAAGTCTCGAGCGGCAATGGATCTGACTTTTGTCATTCTAGAATTGCAATAGAATCTAAATCATCTTTGAACAGATCAATCCTACGGCTACAGTGCTCTGTTGATGGATGTACTAAGAAACGTACTTACAGTTATAGATATGTAGAGATCGGGGAGTGCTAACACGAATAATGTACAACTACTACTATTTATTAATCCTAAAATGTAATACAGAATGCGCGGTGACGATAAAGAATACGAATATAATCAATCTGTTAACTGAACTCTTATAACTACAACGAGACAATTACCTAACAACACGTTTATACTTCGCAACACTAATACACCTTTTTTTACAACTCTCTCTCTCTCTCTCTCTCTCTCTCTCTGAACTCTCCTATACTACACGTACCACGACCGACTTCACACACACTCTCTCTCTCTCTCTCTCTCTGCCCACTCACGCCCTTGCATCCCCATTTAAAACCATCCATTCTATCATCTTTCCAATTCTCTCTTTCCAATCACACTTTCCCACGCACTCCTTGCAATCTTACCCTCAGCGGGTCACATAGCCCATACAATCAAACGCATTCCTAAAGCCACCCTTCACTTTCATCCGATACATTCATAAACATCCCGTTCACACGATCCAAGCGCACGATCATTCATCCTTTCGCACGCACTCTAGATAACACGCTCATCCCGCGATACCACACTCGGCCCTCCTGACTAGAACATCTGTCCTCAGACGTTCCGCTAACACTGTCCCCGTTTTCGGCTGCACTTCTTTAAAAAAAAGCATTGTCCAATTTCCCTGCCAAATTGACATTGTCGTAGATACCCGATTTGGTCGGAGACGACCACTGTCAAAAACCAATCTGCTTAGCCTCCTCGTCTTAACCCTTTTCCTCATCCTTGTCTTTGTCCCCATCTTCGTTTTCGTTGTCGCTCCACTCATCGCTCGCACCATCGCCCTTCCCATCATCCTCGCTCTCACCTTCGGCCTCGCAGTCTTCGCCCTTGTCCTCGTGATCTGCACCCTCGGCTTAATCGTCTTTCGCGCACTTGTTCTTCCAACCGTCTTCGTCCTCGTCATCTTCGTTCTCGTCTTCGTTCTCGTCTTCGTTCTCGTCTTCGTTCTCGTCTTCGTTCTCGTCTCCGTTCTCGTCTTCTTTCACGTCTCCGTTCTCGTCTTCGGTCTCGTCTTCGTTCTGGTCTTCGCTCTCGTCTTTGTTCTCGTCTTTGCTCTCGTCTTCATCGTCGTTCGCACCATCGGTCTTTCCATTGTCCTCATACCCTTCTCGCCTTCGTCCTTATTTGTGACCTTGTGTGCGCCCTCGTCTTCGTCTTCATCGCCATCCTTCCCGTCGCTCGCGCCATCGTTCTCTCCATTGTCCTCGTCTTCGTCTTCATCGTCGCCCTCGGCCTCATGATTTTCTCTCTCCTCTTCTTTCTCGTTTTCATTGTTGCGCTTCCCGTCGCTTGCGCCATCGTTCTTTCCATCGTCCTCGTCATGGTTTTCATCGTCGGCTTCATCGTCGCTCGCGCTCTTGTTCTTCCAATCGTCTTCGTATACATATTCGTCTACCGTCTTTCCTCCTATCACGACTGCCGGAACCGCTTCCTGCATCTCTTCACCGTCGCTTGCTCCCGGCAACCCGTTCGATCCTGCGCTCCTCTTCTGGATCGCGTCGGTCTCCCCGTCCCCTTCGTCTTCAACTTCGTCTACAATTTCGTCTACAACTTCGTCTGCAACTTCGCCTTCAATTTCGTCCTCAATTTTGTCTTCAACTTCGTCTCCAATTTCGTCCTCAGTTTCGTCTTCAACTTTGTCCTTGCAACAAGCTGTTACCCACGTATGTCCGAATTCTGATATAAGTATGCTCTTAAATTTGGCCATGATCCACCCATGCCTGCATACCGAATGAATATTTGTTCAGCTCCACGAAGTAGCCTTCTGGCGTAACAAACTTTTTGCCCCTCGCACCATTCGTAATCTTCCGCAATTTCTTCGAAATCACAATTCCTTCTAGACATACCTTTTAATATACATAATCAGTGGTCCAATTAATCCAACGGCGACAGTACTGTGATTGTGGCTGTACTCAGTACTGTTCCGTCACTTGTTAATATCTAGACACGTAATAGGTCAGACCACTGACTTCATGAATTACAGTAGAATCTGAGTCATCACTGAACAGACTTGTCAATCAGATATAGTGTTCAATTCGTGTATGTATCATCTACGGTGCTGTGTATTATAAATAACTCCAGCCGTAACTGACGTATGCATTAATTTTTCCAGAACTACTGCGGAACTTAAGTCACCAGTGGTCAAATAAGTACAAAGGCTACAGCATTATGATGATGACTGTACTTAGTACGGTGTTGTCAGGTGTTAATACTTCGAGCGGTAGTTGTTCTGCGTCTTATCACTCTGGGATTGCTATAGGATTTAAATCATCGTTGAACAAGCCTATTCAACGTTTATATTGCTCTGTTGATGGATGTACTGAGATCCGCAGCTACAATTTTAAATACGTCTAGCTATAAATGTACTATAAGTTGATTATTCTAGAATTGCCGTTAAAATTAATTTATAAGCGAACAAATTAATCCAAAGGCTAAAGAACTGTGACGATGGCTCTACTCAGTACTGTTTCGTCAATTGTTGTTGTCACAAGAGATAATGGGCCAGTTGTTTGTCATTCCGGAATTGCAATATAATATATGTCATCACTGAATCGATTAATTAAATGGTCACATGGCTCCGTTGGTGAGTGTACTAACTACCTTACTGGAAATAGTTAATATCTCTAGCCATGGCTGTTGTATACATTGGTTATTTCAGAAGTGCTGTGCAATGAAATTCATCACTGGACAGATTAATCCAGCGTCTGAAGCATTGTGACGATGGCTGTACTCAGTGCTTTTATGTCAATTGACAGAGTGTCGAGCTATTACGGATATGACTCTTGTCATATTAGAATTGCTATAGGATTAACATCATCATTGAGCAGGCTAATTCCGCGGCTACAGTGCCCCGTTGATTTTCGTACAAAGTACCGTACTTTCAATTGCAAGTATTTGTAGCCATAACCGTAACATACATGGATTATTCCAGAATTGCAGTTAATGTTAAGTTAGAAGCGAATGGTGTAGTCCAACCTCTAAGTTACTCTGATGTTGGCTATACTTAGTACGCTTTCGTCAACTGTTATTACCTCGAGCGATAATGGGCCAGTCCCTTGACATTCTGGAACAGCAATAGGATATATATTATCACTGAGCATCTTTATCCAACGGCTGCTGTGCTCCATTGGTTAGCGTACCGGCAACCTAACTGGGCATTGTTAATTTCTCTAGGTACAACTTTTGTATACTTTTGGAATGCTGACGCTATTAATCGAGATATCACACATCAGTATATTTACACTAAACTGTTTTTGTGCTTATGACTCACACATGTAAGACTGTGCACGTGACGGTCGCTAGCTAATTTCTGTTGTTATTACGATCTTGTCCCTAGGCTCTAAGTTATCGTTGTTCAGCGTACACCGAGCAAGTCACATAATAATAAACAGCCCCTTTTTTGTATAATCTGGGTTCTTTCCGTTATAAATCCACTGCCTTACCAAATTCTATCCGGTTATGCGCCCAGGATACTGAATTAGAAGAACATCAATATTTGTAAGACGACGCAGAGAGGGTCAAAGGCTTTGATTCAAAGTTTGGGGGATCAAGCGGCCAAAGAAGATTTAGAGCTCGCCGGCTGCAGTTAACACGCTGAGTAAGTTTTTTTCCTTACTATGCTACACGTTCTTATGTACTAATAAAGGAATAATAACATAAAGCGGAATAAGTACTGTCTATCGCTTCCTTGAAAGTTCCGTTACTCCGAGACAAAGAATAAAACAAAATGGCGGACGGAAGGACCACTGTAACGTCTCCTTCGCCAAGCTTTAA